ATAAATTTTTATTGTTGTATATTTAATGCTTCAAAAGTTTAATCATATTTTGATTGATTATGTAATTTATGTGTAAACTTGAGAAAGAATTATAGAAATTAGACTAATAACAATATTAACCATGTATTATACTATGAAATCGAGTGGTAATTAATGTTACATACGGGAGAGTTAGGAGTTTTCATTTCTTAAGTTAGATATTTTTATATTATCTAATGCTCGTTAGTTTATTTTAAATTACAAATAAGTAAAGAATTAATTTAACTTGATAAAACTAATTAATTAATTTAGAAAAATCCGTTATGATTTATAATGACACTTAACAAATTAGCTATATATTAATCTAACATTTATATTAATTAGTTATGATGAAATTAATAATTCAATACCTTATATTTTTGTTAATTTTATTTTAATTGTTATTTTTTTCTTATTATTTTTAACTAAAATTTCTTCCTTTTTTGTTTGTTTAAATAAGTCTAAACTAATTGTTTCTAGTGTTTAGTTAATTGTAAATTTGACACTTTTGTCGTTATTATATTACTTGAACGGAGTTAATACACTTGCCGTACTTTAACCTATCACAATTTTAACGCATCACTACCAACCAAGGAGAGCTCTTTCAGTGATCAGGCATTTCCTGGCCGGCACACCTCTGCCGGGTGCTTCACAAAATACCTGATTTTCTGCTCTGTTTTTGTTGGGGTTTGGGTGAAGTTTTTTGAATTGATATTCTACATGATTTCTCAACTGAGAAGTAGAGATAATTCTAGTTGAAAAATTGAAATCATATATATAGTCCATGATTGATCTCAGAATCTGTGAAGAAAGCAAGAAATTCAAATCTATTTGCCCGGAAATGAAATAAACAGAGTTCACAGAGCTCATAATCAAAAACAGAATTCAGGATGTATCAAACTGCAGACTTCTTTATTCCAAATTCTTTTGGGATTGACTTTGATTAATGTAAGCATAAAGTTATGAGAAAGAAGGTCCCCATGACATGAGCATTAGAGGTAACGATTATGGATTTTCACTCTCTAGATATTCTTCCAATCTTGTAGGCTGTAGCTTTATCTTGAACAAATGTATTTGGGCATCACTGATGTTCCTTCCATCGGTATGTAGAAAATGTGAAATCTGCACAAGTTGAAAATATAAGAAATCTTGGGCAGCAACCTAACCTATGGTTAAGATACATTCATAAAAAATTGAAAAAAACAATCATAATATATTACCCCAAAAACATGTTGCAAGAGTTCATTGAACATCTGCTGTCCCTTTTTGAATTTAATCTGCAATTGCAGTGAAAAGGTTATTATCAGAAGAATCATGCAGCTGTATGGCAAAAGTCTACCAAAGAAAGTAGTGTAACAAAAGTTGATCTAAACATAATTGAGAACAAGGGAGATTACCATTCTATCTCAACACTGGGGATGTGGGCTATCCTCGTTGAGTATGCTCCTTTCTTCTTCAAGCATTTTCGTTTTAGATGTTCACAGTTTCTGATACAAAGTCTTCCAAGTGTTGCCGGAAGGCCTTCCCTTGGCAAGTGTCTCAGCTTTGGACAGTCAACAACTTCTAGTTCTTCAAGAGATGTCAGGTTTTGCAGTCCCAAGGATAGAGATACCAGATTGTTGAGTCTTGCAATGAAAATCAAAGTGAGGCTCGTAGGAAGCAAACAATTTTCATCCGGGAAGGAAGTTATATTAGGGGCACCAGCAATGTTGAGCTCTTTAAGAGAGGTTAGAGAATCTAAGTTCCATTCTGACATTGGCTCCTTCAGATTTATACAATCCCAGACCTCAAGTAACAATAATTGTGGAGGCAAATCACCTTTAGGAAAGGTCATAAGACGCGGACAGTCACAAACTGTTAGATATTGAAGAGAAGCAAGATTTTGCATCCTTTCTGGCAGAGACTTAAGATTGACACACCTGTAGATTTCTAATGTTCTCATGGTGGGGGGGAGGCCTGTCTCTGGGAAGGAGATTAAAGCAGGACAGCTACTTATATATAACTCAGTCAAATGTGCGAGGCAATGTAGGCATTCAGGCAAATATCTAAGAGTAGCATAATTCCACAGACCGATGTATTCAAGTGATGCATTCTTGTGTAGCAGCTCCTCTGAAAGTGGCTCCAGCTTTGAGCACTCTGAAATCTTTAGTGTTTTAAGACTAAATGGTAATATGCCTTCAGGAAAGCCAGTTAGAGAGGGACAATCATCAATCTCCAAGCTCTCAAGATGAGACATGTTTGTGCTCTTATCATTTTGCATGATTCCTTCAGGTAAAGACTGCAGATCTCTACAACCTCGGATTTTCAACCTTTGCAACCTGGTAGGCAAGATGCCTCTTGGAAAGGATGTGAGAGAAGGACATTCTTCAATCTCCAAGTCTTGAAGAAGATAGTCAGTAGTCCTGCAGTTAGGCAACGCCGTCCAATTAGGCAAGGTTATAAGAGCTGCACAATCTTTGAGCTTAATACGCCTAAGAGTGGACAAGCAACCTATCTCAGGAAAGGATAGAAGTTTCGGGCATGATTCAATTTGCAGGCTTTTGAGAGACAGTTTCTCCGAGTTGCCACTGTTCATTAATTCCATATTTTCCAAGCTACAGGGAAGACCTTGCTCATTTACTACTAGAGACACAAATTCTGAGCAGCCTTTAATTTTCAGATGCTCAAGAGAAGCAATGTTTTTCAGCCCAATGCCCTTCGGCCACAAATATATCAGCTCAGTGCAATTTGAAATCTCTAGGATTTGAAGTGCACCAAGAGACTTTAGCATCTCTTGTGGCAGACATGAAAGGTCCCTTATGCCCTGAATCCTCAATGTGGTTAGGGAAGTAAGGTCAACTATATTTTCCAGCCTTACCTTGTTGCAATCTTCAATTTTTAATTCACAAAGGGAGGGCAGGCTCGTAAGTGAATCCCCCAATTTTGGGCAGTGACTAATGATAAGCTTCACAAGGGAAGGAAAGCAGCTTGGTAGGTTTCCAATCAGTTTTGGACAATTTTGAATTACAAGCTCACGAAGAGAAGGAAATCCATCATCCAAATCCACATTAGTTTCTTGAGGAGAAGACCAGCATTCCCATTCTAACATATTCCGAAAGCAAAGAACTTCTAAGGATGGAAACCACTTAGTAGACAGAAAATCATCTCCATATAACTCAAAACCCACCTTTTTGACTCTGTTCATGCCTTGGATGGACAACGTTTTCAATGATGGCAGTTTTCCAAGTGATGGAAGTGACGTGCTTCTTCTACAATTATGGAGTTTTACTTCCACAACATTAGTTAATGAGGGATCTCCTAACCAAGATGGAAAGTTTTTACCACCATAAAATGAAATTCTAAGTTTTTTCAAATTCTTATTAGGTTGTAGCATTTCAAGAACATGCATTCCATCTTCTTCGCTTTGGTAATCAAGGAACTCACTCCATTTCAAATCTAAGGCATCAAGACACTGCTTATCCATTAGATTAGAAAGCCTAGCATCTCGAATGTCCACCACATTTTCCAACCCCATAATGCAAAACTCCCCTGTTAGATGTATCAAGTCCTTCAATTCTTTAATGCCAAATTGATTGTCCTTTCCCACAATGAATTTGGACAAAATTTGAAGGTTTTTCAAATTACCAATATGCAGTGGCATCTCCACTAATTTCTCAGTATCAGTGAGATCAAGAACAAGAAGATTAATCAGATTTTCAATACCTTGTGGCAATTTAGTAAGCTCCTTGCAGCCACGCAATAAAAATGTTTGTAAGTTGAGTAAGGAACCCACAGATTCTGGTAACTGTTTAATTTTGGTGTATGACAAATTAAGGTACCTCAAGTGCTCCAAATGACCAATAGAATATGGTAGTTTGTCGATGCAGTAGCCACTCAAACATAGCACTCTTAAGTATCTTAATTCTGCCACCAACTCCTGCAACACATCCTTGCTCAAGTGACAGCATGCTGTTGAAGATGATGTATCAATTGGTAAAGCTACGAAAGTCCGTAAAGACTTTGCTAGATCAAATAACTCAAATCTTCTGAAAATGTCATATTGGTGGCGAGTGAATGACAAATGACGAAGCTTTTTAATACTTGCAGGCAGTTTATCTCCACAGTTATCCTCAAAATGAAAGCACATTTCTCCAGCAACAGATTGAGCTAGATCATTTATAAGGTCGTGCATAACAAACAATGTTTTGTTGCTATTTGACAGTTGGAAAAAAGACCTTGAAAGCAAATCATGAAAATATGCAAGACCTAGGTCCCACAGTTGCTTTTCTTCCTTGGCTTGTTGTATCAAACCTTCGGCCATCCACAGTAGAACCAGCTCATTCTTGTCAAATTCATAGTCTTTTGGAAAAAGAGCACAATAGGCAAAGCATCGCTTCAAATGGGAAGGAAGATGATGGTAACTCAACTTTAGAGCAGGAACGATGCCACCTCTTTCTCCTGGTATGTCCCATATTTTGCTCCTCAGCATACCTTCCCACTCATCATAATTTACTTTACCACGCAGGAGCCCACCTAGTGTCTTGGCTGCCAGTGGTAATCCTTTGCACTTCTTCACGATCGCCTCACCAATTCCTTTTAGATTTGGGTGTCCATCAAAATTACTAGCTCGAAGAGCATGTCTGGCAAACAGTGAAAGGCAAGCATCATCAGACAAGGCCTGCAAATGGTATACCCCACACGTTGTCATGATAGATGCAACCCTTTCACTTCGAGTCGTTACAAGTACTTTGCTACCAGCTGCTCCCGCCATGAAGGGTCTACGTAGAACATCCCACCTTTCATAGTTCTCATTCCAAACATCATCTAAAACAATCAAAAACTTCTTTCCAGAAAGCTCCTCCCTTAGCCTCAGTTGAAGCAAATTTAGGTCGCCCTCGAAATGGCAACCCACCTTAGTGACAGCCTGCAATAGAATCCTAGTCACCCTAACAACATCAAAGTCCTCAGAGACACAAGCCCAAACCCTCAATTCAAACAAGTTTTCAACTTTCTCATCATTGTATACTAACTGAGCAAGCGTGGTTTTACCCACTCCCGCCATTCCCACAACACAAACCACACCAATTTCACCAATTTCAACATTCATCAACCGTTGAATAATCTCGTCTTTATCCATTTCCCGACCATAAACCCGAGATTCATCAACAAGAGAACTCGTCAAACGCAACCCCTCCCTTACTCTCTCCAATCTCCCTTCACCTCTTCTCTCAAACAAATTCAAAACATTTATCTGCTCAACCATAGCTTCAAATCTAACAGTGATATCTTCTATTTTAGAACCCACCCGTGCACTAGACTTAACACCACTTAAATTCAGACAGGTGAAACAACTTGGGAAAAATTGGCATACCTTATTATCGGTGCCCATCATCCGAGTCTCCCCCAGTATTCTCTGGCGCAGGGCCACGGCGGCAATTTCATCAATGATATCTTCAGCATCATATACTATGTCTTTTAAATCGCTGAGCCAGAGCTTCACCACTGGATTGACTGTTTGCTTATCTTCTGCGTCATCGAGAAAGGCTTTGATCTTTGGTAGCAGCTTCTCCCACTTGTTGAGTTGGGACAAAACTTGCTCTTTCCGGGCAAACTTGAGAAACTCTGACGAGGCAAATAATCTATCAAATATATAGTCCAACAGAGAGGAGAGCATTGCGTCAGCAATACTTGATGCTACGGCTTCCATTGAAAATGAATGAACCAGAAATCGAAACCCAAAAGGAAAAAATGCAGCTTAGGGTTTTGTCTTTTACCAGCCAAAAACTCTATGAAGAGATCTGGGTGCAGGGTGCCTTGCTCTCAAAATGATACCTAGTAGCTTACCGCACTCCATCCCCACTTTCCTCCACTTTCTCAAGCGAATCTGGTTCTTTCGTAACCATTACTGCTTCGTAATTCAGGAAAAAAATAGTCTTTGATAAAATAACCGCCGTCATTTTTATGTAGACGGCAGAGCTATTCCACCCAGGTTTATCAGCAGCCTGAAACGAGAGATGCAAGTATCCATGTCTAGAAAATTAGAAGATTAAAACTGCATTTGGATCCCTCAGCTATTGTATGAACCCTTAATTGAGTCCCTCAACTCAAAAAATCCTTAATTTGGTCTCTTTTGTTTTCCATTTTGGCCACTACTTGGTCCTTGTTAAAAATACAATGATGTGTCCCATTAATGCATGATGACTTGTCAAAATATTGTGACACGCCAGATGTA